AACTACTTACTTATTAATTAAAATTGATAGTCCTGAACATAGGTACTTTAATTTAATTCGTTTTGTTTTCACATTGTTGGTAGTTACCTATATTGTTTTAAATTTAAAGGTTTTGCATTTTTAGTTTTGAGTTCGTTTGTTGTCTTTAGGTATATAGATATATCGTGAATTATTTTAAAATTAATATTAGGGTCGCATTAGATGAAAGATGATTGATTTTTTGTTTGTTACGATTTAACTCAAAAACTACTCAACCAATTTTACCGAAAGCTACATCTCCTCGGAGTAACATAGGCTATTTTATATTTACCCGTGCGAAGCCGGGGCGGGTTGCTAGTTATTAATATTTAAAATAATTTCAAAATATTAATGAAAAGTATTTATCGTTATTTTTTTAAAGCATTGTGTCAAGTTTGTGAATTTCTGTGTCAATGACCTCTGACATTGATTACTTCCAATCATCCCTTGACAGATAATATGCGAGACAAGTAATTGCCAGTACCTTTGACTACTCATATTCGTAAATGTAACGGAATAAATTTAGTGACAAATTCAATTACCCTAACATGTGTTTATGGTAGCGTATACAAAATCGCAACCTTTCCTTCCTTTTCTCTTCATCGGGTACATCAAACACCCGTTCAAAGTTGCTCTTCAGTTCCTTATAGTAGCATATCACCACCTCCGTGACTTCTAACACCATGAAGCAGATAACACCTCCAGACGGTATAGAGAATATGGTAAAACTAAATTGTAAAGCAAATATTGCAGCCGATCCTAAGGGACTGGTCACATCAAGAGGCAACTTCAGCGGAAAGAAAGCGCCGCAAATTTCCTTCAGACCCTTTTCCTCATTCAATTTCTTGCAATCCGACCATTTCAAGGCAGCTTCCAGGCCGTATACAAATTGGCCGAAGTAGGTGTATATCGTGTATGTTAGCGAATAGATGTTCAGCTCCTTCTTCCTCTTCTTCAACGTCGAGGGTTCTCCAAACAGGTGACCGCAATTTTCTAAGTCCATGAAAAATGTAGACCACAAGTCGTATTTAAATGCCAATAACGTGTTTGTGACGACAGTACCCACACCCCCCAATATCATTGAAATGTCTTCACTGATGTCAGCCCCGTTGTGTTCTGAAATAGGAAGGAATAATTATACGTAATGCAACAAAAATACCTTTTTATTCGAATATAGAACTGGGCAAAACAATTTGGACAGATGGTTACGAATCTGTTCTCGCATGACATTGTGGCTATGTGGAACACAAATGTATTTTATGTTACTACATGTAAATGATTACAAGCCACGTGATCAGTGATTTTGTTGGGGACAGTAATTTTATTTTTTTCATGGTGGCAATTAAATTTCGGTAAAATTAAGACAATAAGATCAAGATTACAGTAAAACACAACACTGTTCCACCGACTGTGATTGGTGTAATTTTTCAACCAATCAGCTATCGCATTATCTCGAGCGTAGGAGTAACGGTTTGTTACTGTTCATTGTAAACAAATCATCAATATTAGTGACGCTAAGATTTAGGGATTTTTTTGTTACCACTACCAGTCGTCCTCTGCAGTCACTTGGCTTGTAAACATTAATGAAGGCTTCGTATAATGAGTAATAATACAATTCACATAACAATTAACTTTTAAGTAAACATATAGTAAGGATCATAGTTTTAGGAAATTTTCTTCCGATTTCAAAGAAATATATAAAAAAAGCAATTGAGTAGAAAACAACAATTTCTACTTGAATTTTTGAATAATATTTTAAAAATCAACAAATTTTTAGTTTCCACCTTATTAAAAAAAATAACAATAAGTTTACTGAGAGAATATGTTTTTTTTTCTAAAAACATATCAAGGGAAATAGAAGTTAAGTTACAATTTTCTTATTATGCTTAAAAATGTGAAATATGTATACAGGGTGATTCACAACTTTTAAAAAAAATTTGGATGGAAAGGGGCAGTTCGAAAATGATTTAAAAATACACTTCTGCACGGCACTGGAAACTGGTCCAGTGTAAAATGTTGTCTTGCTTCACCATAACACAAATGCTTCACCATAAAACATATGTAGTCTTGCTTCACCATAGATTAAAACCATATTCATCAACTCCGAGTTACTATACACGCAAGCCATTTTTGACACTAACTACTAAAAAGCTATTGTAAACACTATCACAACGACGATTGTAAAATCGGATTTCAGTATTCCGAGTCACTGAGGCCACGTGGCTCTCCACGCGTGTTACGAATGATACTAGAGACTACAGTTGTCCAGCTATGTAATGGTTGAAAGTACTACAACTTCAATAATTTTTTTCTCGAAAACTATAAGGATTTTACGAAAATCGACTCCATTTCTCATGCCGCATCTATTCCCAAATTTTTTTGAATAAGTTGTGAATCACCCTGTATGTATGTATACTAGAGAGCAAAGTAGGAATTTGAAAATTTAGGTAAAGCGAAAATAATCACTTGATGTTTTCAAATTTGCAATTAGTGAAATGTAATGTTACTTTAGACCAAAAGAAAATGACAAAGAAAATAAAAATGTGTTGGGAGAAATAGTCCGGTCAAATTAGTCATAAAAATAGTGGTCAAATAACGAAAATTCCGACAGAGCTAAATTTTGGTGGAGACCTTGGGTACACCATTAGAAATAAAGTGTCAAAAGTCCCCATCGATCCCATGTGTGCTAAAAAAGTTATTCAGAGTCAAAGGTCAAAATTTGAGGTTTTTTGGATTTTTTTCGAAAACGGTAAATTTTATCAAAAAAAGTATCCCTGACAAAAATTATAGATCATAAAATTATCTACAAAAATGATCTTTATACTTTTTTTCCAAGAATCACCATTACCGAGATATCGCGATTCTAAAAGTTGAAGGAGTCACGTTCTACATGATATGCACATATATGCCACGTATATACATAGTCACGCATTTAATGCAAATAAAAATGCCTATTTGTGTCTCTTATATGTATAAACTATACTATTCTGAGGATATACACTCAAAAGAAACTCAGTCCCTTAGTCAATCCCCTCTACCCGCATGGCCTTGAATAACATCTGGCTACTCTATTGTAAAAACTTCTGCAAAAAATACACGAAACAAGAAACAAGTACAACTATCTTGTCTTCCTCCAGCATCGGCTTCGGCTAATCAACAATTGTATCGAGTATACTATCAAGTTCAGACATGGCTAGGCAATCAACTGAACCCAGAAGACTGGGGATGGAAATTAACAGATAATACTTTGGAACCGATTCAAAAGTAGACTGACTGTTGAAGTCGACTTTGAAGAGTATGAATCAGATTAAAATATCAAAAGAAATCAGAACTACAGCTAAAGTCAATAACCAATATCAATAATCATCATGCAGTTAAAAGAGTATTGTCCCTAAATATTTCGTCACGACAGTTCGTGGAGTAGGCCTACCGGAGACACCACGTTAAAAACACACGCCAAAGTACACTACCCCACAGGTGCTGTATGCATATCATGTAGAACGTGAATCCTTCAACTTTTAGAATCGCGATATCTCGGGAATGGTGATTCTTGGAAAAAAGTATAAAGATCATTTTTGAGATAATTTTAAGATCTATAATTATTGTCAGAACTACTATTTTGATAAAACTTACCGTTTTCGAAAAAAATCCAAAAAACCTCAAATTTTGACCTTTGACCCCGAATAACTTTTTTAGCACAGATGGGATCGATGGGGACTTTTGTCACTTTATTTCTAATGGTGTACCCAAGGTCTCCAAAAAAATTTAGCTCTGTCGGAATTTTCGATATTTGAAATGTCTATTTTGACCGGACTAAAATATAACATGTCTCTTTGAATTGGATGAAAATTATTATTTTTTATGTAGATCTTAGAAAATGTTATATATTATTATATTATTCACATATATTTTCCTACTTTCGCTGCTATGAAGGGCAGTATGAAGTACTGGGGGAAAACGACAGAGGTCATTTTTTTGTATTAAAAAATTATCGCAACATATGTTTTAAGCAAAATAAGGGTGTCTCAGTTTCAATCTATGAGACTTTGGGAGCAGATAGTACAACGAAAATTAATGGTACATGGTAAAACATTTCGAAATCTCAACCGTTTTCGGGATACAGGGTCAATAGTTAAAAAAAAATTTCATTGTAAATATCTTCTGAAATAATAGAGGTATTTGAACTAAATTTGGTGTACGTTATATTGGGTCAAGTTTCCATAAAGTACTGTAGCCAATATCAAGACTTTTGCGCAACCATATCTAATCTAATCTGAAGACGTGGAAATTAATGATTCTCTTGATGTTCTTGTAATAATCCAATAATAATAGATATTATTGATTTGAAATATGCTACTGCATTCTTTATTTAAATTAATTGAAACTAGCTGAAATATTTCTAATAGGAATTAAAAAAAAAATTGAAATCCATTAACGCACAATATCTGGCTAATTTGCAAGGAAAAAAAGAAATCCAATTTGCGGTAAAACAGAGACAGATATCAACAATTTGTTCCCATTTCAGAAAATATAATCAATTATTAGGTATTTGGCACGAGACCGTACTTTTTTTTTATAAAATAGTCGAATGAGTTTACCATATCTGCCATTGGTTGCGCAAAAGTCTTGATATTACAATATTTTATGGAAACTTGACCCAACACCACGTACACCAAATTTAGTTCAAATGCATCTATTATTTCAGAAGTTATTTACAGTAAAGGAATTTTTTTAACTATTAACACCCTGTGTCTCGAAAACGGTTAATATTTCGAAATAAGTTTATATGACAAAGTAGTGTTTTGTTTTTGTTTTTGAATATGACTTGCCATAAAGATTGTATGCAATTTAACATGGTCAATAAACACTAAACTAAACTAAACTATTTTTCGTTGTACTATCTGCTCCCGAACTCTCATATCTCATTTATTTTCACTATACATAAATAAAAGGGCACAAACTTGTTGCATACGTGGTGCCAATTTTTTCAAATCTGTTCGAAGATTTAATAGTTGCTAATAAATTTATATTATTTTGTATACAGGGTGATTCACAAACGGTAACCAAAAAAGAAACTTCGTATTCTTTGGTGAATTTTAATACCAAAGAATACGAGGTTTCATTTTTGGTCACCGTTTGTGAATCACCGTGTATAAACTAAATCATATGTATGAATATTAAATAGTTCTTAATTTTATATACTAATAAAATTTTGTTAAGCATAAGTTTTCTATTAATGGTGATACAAACGTGTTGAAAAATAATTTCTCTTACCTTAAATAAAATGTTCATCGATCGATACTTTGTTACTAAGGTTTAGAGTAATCTTATACTTACCCTTAATTGAAGATATCAAGTGACAAGAAGGCAAAATGGCAAGACAGGCAAAGGCGCCAAATCTGACAACAACGTTTTTTATATAAAATCTTCTTAAATAAGACTTTTCAAATGATACGGGAATTGCCATAACAATATGCAACGCTTTTATAGTCCAGTAGAAAGGTTTGTTCCTTTGGACTTGATACATCTTGATGAACTGATCGCGTAGAAAGAAAAGCACATTTTATATACCGCAGATAGATAAATTTATAGTTTCAAAACTGACCAAAGTTTAAGCATTCTTTAATTTATTTTTTTATTCTTTCATATGTAACAATCAGAATTTTAGATTGCAAATAGAATGTAGTCAGTCCTCTTTAATCGACAATTGAGAATTTAAGCTTACAACTATGTAAATTGCATTAGTTTCATATTACAGAGCACTAAATCTCGATCCATTGATGAAATATGTATGTTTAAATGACATGACGAAGAAATTACATTCGCAAAATGATCATAGGAAAGAAGTATATGCAAAATTTGAATTATTAAAAATCAAGTCATTATGTAAATAAATTGTGTAAGATATTTTCAACATATCCTTTTTCATAGAACTACAATAACATAGTTCCACAAAAAAATTAAGTTCTGTACTATAGATATGAGTACATAGATTTTGTGTATTTTTTTATGCTGAATCCGATTCCGCCGCCGAAAAAACGATTAACCACGTGATTTTTTTGTAAAGCGCTAACATACCTTTAAAAGAGGGCGAAATAGTGGGGATCAGGCAAAGCTTTATAATGAAAGGCAACTGTTTGTAAATACTTTAAAACAATATTTTAAGCTTTGAAAAGAAATATATGCAAATTAATTCTACGTCTAATTGTAAGATCAAATAACAAATGTAAAACAATGTGAAAAACTATAGCCTTGTCATCTTGTAAGTCACACATTTGCCTATTCAATATTTTTGCCTGAAATTTGTTGCCGCAGTCTTTTGGGGTCTCTGATTACGAATCTGAAGTCCGAACCGAAAGTTCCCGAATAAAAGATATCGGATTCAATAGGGTGGATATAAAAATAAGAAAAGCATTCAAAATTTGAAGATTATGAATGAAACTTGTTACTCGATAATTTTCAAAGTCGCCAATCACGAATATAAGGTTTTAATTAGGAAATTTGGTTGCTAGGAACAATGCCAAGAAAATAAATAAGTATTGTTTTATTTTGTTCTACCAGTTCTGCTTTGTGTTGCCTTCTTTGTTATGCACAAAGTAAAAGTAGAAATGTGTGAAAATTAATTTGAAGAAGGAAAAGTTCATTCCGTATAAAAAGATGCATCTATTGCCCCAAAAAGATGAAGATGTATGAAGAAGAATATACCTGGCTTTCAAAAGTTGAAGAGCGCAATTATGATATAAACAAGATCTGTACCAAAAACTTGAATCCAATGAGAAAAAAAGCCTCGATTTGAGTGAAATAGATATAAAAATTATTCTTTAAAGATGGCCCATATAGTCAAGTGCAATTTTTCCAGTGTTCTTCATCAGTCAAATTCAGTATGGCTTCTTCCAAAGAATGTTATCAATCATAAGTTTCTTCATGGAATGTTCCTGTTTCAAATTCTATATGTATTTTCATTGTACAAAATTTAAAACAAAATATTTTAGAATTATAAAAAATTCCATTCAAAAATTCAAATTTTACATAAAAACAGAAAAACCTGTCATCTTCTTCCAAATACAATTGACCTGTTTTCTAGCAATTTGAGTTAAATGTTTAAGTACTGATATACTATTTCAAGAACGATTAACCAAATCTTTTGTTTACAGTATTTTATGTCCGCGGATTGAGTTTATAGTCCAGTTAAATGGGCCTTTAAGTCGCAATTTTGGTCAACTTGCCTGAACTGTTGATATTAAATTAGTTTGAGGTATATAATAATAACAAATGACAGTAATTATTTTTCAACCCCCGGCCAGTGGTGAAAAAAGATAAAATAAATGCCTTTTTCAATATAACTCAAAAGGAGTAAGAGATAGAAAAAAAAGTTTCTTATAAAAATTGTAGAGCATAAAATTAAACATAAAAATGGTCTATTGACTTTTTCTTGTACTATTAAAATTAACAGCGTT